CAGCAACGCGAAGAGGATCACCCCGCAGCTCCACACGTCGGCCTTGCGCCCGTCGTACTTCTCTCCCTGCGGAGGGCGCTGCGGTTGGCTTCGCGGGCAATGCGGGGCCCAGGCGGAGGGTCTGGGGCCCGCGAGGGCGCGGGTGGGAGGAGGCCCCTTGGACAGGGACTGGGGGCGCGTGGCGGTTACTTACCCGGATCACCTCGGGGCAGGCATAGTGGGGGGACCTGAAGGCAAAAGCAGCGTCAGGGCGCAGGACTCGCTGTCCGCCCAGCTGTGCCCTCGGGGCTGCCCCAGGACCCTGGCAGGTGGACACCGGAAGAGAGGTGCCTCCCCACTGCCCCCCAGCCCGGAGCAGGAGGACGCCGGTACACCAGCCCGCTCCCCAAAAGGGCTGGACCCGCCCGCCTTCCAGGGCCCGGCCGGAATGCCCAGGGGAGCGCCGGACCAGACGGTCACCTGCGGCCCCCTCACTGCACCGCACGTCGGAGCCACCGCCAGGAGCGGGACCAGGGGTCCTGCCTGCAGCCCCGGCTGTGCGGTGCCGGACGGGGGCTTGGGGCTTGCGGCCACCTGGCGGCAGACCCCTCGCTCGGGCCTCCAGGGACCACGGCGCTGAGCCACCTGCGGGCGTTGCGGAGCCCGCGGCGGCCGGGAGGGGGCGCCCACTCACCCGCAGCTGGTCTCCAGCAGGCTGTCCCCCACCTGCAGCGACGCCATGCCGAAGTCCGCGATGCGGATGTTGTTCTTCTCGTCCAGCAGGAGGTTCTCTGGTTTCAGGTCCCTGTGGCTGGAAGAAAGGCGGCGGCGGCTGCCCGGGTCCCGCCCCAAGCCCCGCCCACACAGCCCCGGCCAATGGCAGCCCGGCCCAGTGACATCGCAGGCAGCCAATCGGAAGTCGCCTGCCTAGGGGCCCGCAGCGTGTCTGCGACGCAGGGGTGGGGACCTTCAGGTCACACCATGTGCTCCCGCGGCCTGGGGGCGGGCCCCGATGTACGCGCCCCCCTCGCGGCTTCCCCCACACCTGCTCTCCCCACACCTGCTCTCCCCCACCTGCTCTCCCCACACCTGCTCTCCCCCACCTGCTCTCCCCACACCTGCTCTCCCCACACCTGCTCTCCCACACCTGCTCTCCCCACACCTGCTCTGGGCCGATGCCGACCAGCGCCCTCAGTCTGAACGGCCCTGTCCCCAGAACCCCTGAAAAGCCAAGGGAGGAAGCTTCCTGGCGCAAAGGGGCAGGGGCTGTGCTGGGGGGCCCCGGGGTAGGGTCAGGGGGGGTCAGCGCACCAGATGGAGTGGCTGTGGCAGAAGTCCAGTGCGGAGATGATCTGCCGGAAGAACTTGCGGGCCTCCTTGGGGGTCAGCCTCCCCTTCTTGACCAGGTAGTCGAAGAGCTCCCCACCAGACACATGTTCTAGCACCAGGTATCTGCAGGGATGGGCGGGCGTCAGGTGGCTGCACACGCACCCCTGGCCCACCTGGGGCCACCCTCGGTGTGAGGGGCCCTGCTCGCCGCCCTCCTAGCAGGCCCGCCTCTGGGGCAGCCACTGGGGGAGCCCCCTGGGGCTGGGGCCTGGGAGCAGGGCCACACTCGGCTTCCCGCTGAGGGATCCCTGGGCCCCAAGGCGAGAGGGGCTCCGCAGTTGCTGACCCTCCTGGCGCTGGGGCTTGGACCTCCCAGGCCTCGCCCTGGCCAGCCCAGGCTGGGCTCCCGAAGCCGGGGTACAAATCAGACACGGCCCTCGGGGAGCCCTGGCCGGCAGGGTGGTCTTTGAAACCGGGCAAGGGGCTGGCAGACCAGGGGTGGGGGGCAGGAAGATGTCTGGGTCGGTGGCTGGGGGGACCCTACCCCCCTCTGAAGGTGTTGACTGAGAAGCAGAGCATCGGAGCCAAGCCTCCCCTGTGGAGCCTGAGGGGCTGGTTTCTGGGTTGCGGGTAGGGGGTGGCCCCTGGACACTGAAGCCTGTGAGGCCTCAGGGGAGCTTGGGTGGGGCTGTGCAGACCCCCTGGGAGGTGCTGTGAGCGCTGAGGGTGGCGGGCCTGGGTGGGCTGCAGTGGCTTGGGGAGGGGAAGTGGACCAGAGAGGAGGCAGCAGGACTCGCAGGACGGGCTGGGGAGGGGGAGGGTGTGGGCCTCGGGGACGGGCTGCCTGCAGAGCTGGCCTTGGAGGACTCATGGGGTTAGTGGGGGGTACCCCAGGGCATCAAGGAGAGGAGAGGAGAGAAGGGAGGGGCGGGGGCTGGAGATGCAGGGCTGGGGCACCGGGTGGCGTCCAGGCAGGAGCGGGACAGCCCGAGCACAGCACAGGTCGAAGGGTGCCCTGCAGGCGCCCTAACCTTGGTGGCCCCCGCTTGCTCCTCTGCCTCCAGGCTTCCTTCCTGGGCTGCCTTGGGATTCGGACCCCCTGGGAGGGGGCTGTCCCCAGCACAACTGGACCAGCCGCCTGTCCACCTTCCTCCTAGCCACCGGGCCTTTGCCCGGGCTGTGCCTCCTCCTCGGGATGTTGTCCTGGGTCCTCCCCTGCTCCTGCCCCCCCCCAAAGTGGCCTCCTCAGGCAAGTGCTCTGCCCCTCGCCCTCGGGAGCCCATCCTCAAAAGTATCTCGACAGAAGCGAGGAGGTGACCGGTGTCCTGCATGTTGTACGTAGAGGTGGACTGTGCCTGCCCCAGCACCTGCCTGCACCCCAAACTCATGGGACATCACCAAGACCTTGCAAGGCGAGCCGCCATCAAGCCTGTGGGTGGGTGTGTCCCGTCTGTGCCCTCATCCTGGTTCTGATGTGGCTGAGCTCCTGCGGCTCACCAGTGTCCGGGGCCCCAACACCATGACCAGCCAACTGGCCCCTCAGGCCTGTGGCGACAGTGTCTCCACTGCTCAGGGCCCCCACATGGTGCAGCTCTGCCCCCCCATCCTCAGTTAAACACGGGAGCTGGGCCATTCGTGCCGTGTTGGGACCCTGGCTGGCGCCTGCCCCTTGCCCCCCACCCCCTTCTCCAGGCAGCCCTGTCCCCCATGGTGGCTCAAGCTGATGGCTCTGCAAGTCCTGCGCCTGGTCAAGGTGCAGTGACACCACTGCCCGGGGCTTGTCCTGAGACAACCCCGCTTGGCCCCACTGCCCGACGGGCTGCCCGGCCCCTCCCCAGGCCTCACAGCCCCCACTCTGGCCACCCCAACTCTCCAGGCCCAGCAATACCTACAAATATTTTTTGTTTTCATAAACGTCGTGCAGCTTGAGAACATGAGGGTGTTCGATGAGCTTCAGGATGGCGATCTCTCGCTCCACCTGCCGGGGGGACATCATTGAATCACATGGGGCTCGGCCCCTGGAGACCCCCCACCCATCCACCACCCGAAACGTGCCTGCATGTGGGTAGGACTGAGGGGCACAGACCCCGACCTCACCCTGCCCACCAGGAGCCTCACTGTCGGGGACATAGAGGGTGGTGTCAGTCCAGCCCCTTGGGACACCTCAGTGGGCTCATGGGCATAGCCCAGGGCTTTGGGGCAGGGCCAGTCTAGCAGCAGAGTCTCCACCCTGTGGGACAGACAGGCCTACATGGCATAGCACACAGCCCCACTGGTGACAGGGCCACCTCCAGGTTCCTCACCCAACTGCACCGGGTCCCTGCCAGGCCTTTAGGGAGACGGGCCCCAGTTACACCCATGCCCCTTGCCCCGGCTCCTGTCTCTCCACTTAGACATCTCAACACCCCAGCCAGAGCCCAGGGCCCAGCCAGGCGCCATCCAAGGCAGGGTCAGAATCCACCTGGTCCCCACCTGCACTGCCCCACCCACCCAAGAAATGGCCACCTCCCCTCACAACCACCCACCTTGGGTCCTTTGGGGTCCTCAGGTGAACCCACCCAAATCCTCCCCCTTCCCTCAGCAGCCAGAGGGGACCCCACTGACATCACTGGCCTCGCCCACCTGGTTGGCTTCCCTGCAGCCCAGCCTCTGGTCTGCCCGTGGCACTGACCGCAGGGCCCCCTGCCCCGTCTACCCCGCCAGGGCCAGTTCCTACCCCGACTGCCCCGCCCCCCCCACTCACCTTCATCAACACAGACTCGCTGAGCTTTTCCCGGTTGACGATTTTGATGGCCACCTTCTGGCATGTGACACAGTGAATCCCCAGCTTCACAAGGCCTGTGGGCAGAGCAGCCTGTCAGACCCACCCCGGGCCATGCCCAGGGCCACACCCAGGGCCTCGAGGACCCACAGTGGCATCCTACCCCCAGGCCAGCACCACCCCAGCCTGCCTCACACCCTTGGCCCTGGAACCCCCACTGAGGGGACACTCCCATAACCACGCTCCTGGCCACACTTCAAGGACCCACAGTCCTGGCCCCCCCCTGCCTTGTCATGTGGGCACAGCTGGGTGCCTGCCTCCCCTCCCTGCCCTCCCCCAGGATGTGCCACCACAAGCCTCTCACACCCCCCAGCCCCCTGCCAGCTGCCTCGGGCCCCAGATACCCTGCTCCCCTTCCTGATCTGGGGGGCCTGGGCACTGCCACATGGGGGTGACCTGGTAACCACGGCTCTGCAGTCTGACCATAATTTCTGCTGTTTTAAGGGACAAAAACCACGTCAGGACCCCCTTTCTGTGAACACTGAGGGGACACCACCCTGTCCTTTCCAATTTCAAAAAGGGACCGATGGTACCCCTCCAGCCTTGTGGAGACCTTGACACCTCAGGTCCGCCCCTTTTCACACTGGGAGGCGGGGCTTTCTTACTGATTTGCAAGAGCCCTTTGTGATATGTCCCCTAATCAATCAATCAATCACGTCACAACCGTATCTCTGCCTACACCAGGCACCCACGTCTCCTTCCCAGCACCCTTCAGGGAGGCCTCCTCCTCCAGCTGGCACAGCCTCTGCCTGTCACGGCCAAGAGATGAGGCTGTGTCCCCCGGAGACACAGTACCGGGCTCCCACGGTGCGGGGACCAGGCCCTCGTGAACCCCATGCCTGACCCTGAAGCTCCAGCCTCAGGGAGGACAGACGCCCGCAGGGTGTGCCCGCTGAGCCCGGCTCCTGGGGCCTCTCCCTGGCTGCCTCTGATCAGCTCGGGAGCCCTGCGGTCCAGGTCGGGCGGGAGGCACAGCACCCGCGTCCGTGCATCCACCGGTCAGAGCCCGCGGCCCAGGGACTCCACCAACTCCAGCACGGCAGGGCTGGCACTGCCCCCCCATCCTTGGCCCGGGCAGGGAAACAGGCAGGAGCAAGAGGCAGAACTGCCTGGCAAGTCCCCAAAACAAGGCCGAGAGGAACCAGGGAACAGCGGTGACAGGAAAGGCCACTGCCTGGAGAGGGACAAGCTCCTACAAGTCCCGAGCGCCCAGGACAGATGCCAGGTGAGGTGGGTTCCTGGGAAGAGATTCCACAAATACCTGAACGTGAGCCAGCGAGACCCCACAGGGCAGAGCCGGGGTGTGAGGCGGGCGGCGAGCCCCGGGCCAGCTCTGCGTTAGCAGAACATGGAGCCACGTCAGGCCCCGGAACAGTGCGTAAGTAGCTACGGCCGGTCAGAGCCGCCAGAGGGACATGAAAATGGCGAAACACACAGGCCAGGGTGGGGGGACGGCGGTGAGCGCCGGCCTGCGCAGGAATCACGAGCGCACTGGCCCACGCACGCACACGCCACGCGGGGCTGAGAGGGCAGATGTCATCGACGGGCCGGGGAGTTTCCTGCTTCCAGAGGAGGAAGCGCTGGGCCTCAGATGGACAGGGAGACAGAGAGCGGCACCGGCCGCCCCTCCAGAAACGGGAAGCCAGACGACGCAGCCACCGCGACGATGACAACAGCTGTCTGCTGAGCAGAGCCGAGCACGGGGGTGCCGTGAACCGGGTCGCAGTGACCACCCCTTTTAGAGGAGGAAACGCCGCTGCTGCGTCACCAGCTGGTGCACGGCCCCTCAGAAAGGCGGGAAGGAGAAAGGGCACAGCCTACGAGGTGCCCCGGGGAGCCCCAGGCTATGGGACACCGGCCAGCTGCANAACGCAGCCACCGTGACGATGACAACAGCTGTCTGCCGAGCAGAGCCGAGCACGGGGGTGCCGTGAACCGGGTCGCAGTGACCACCCCTTTTAGAGGAGGAAACGCCGCTGCTGCGTCACCAGCTGGTGCACGGCCCCTCAGAAAGGCGGGAAGGAGAAAGGGCACAGCCTACGAGGTGCCCCGGGGAGCCCCAGGCTATGGGACACCGGCCAGCTGCACCCTCAGAGCTGCTCACGGGCCTGTGGGCTGGGGTCCAGGCGGCCAGGACACATGGCTGGGGTGTGTCCTGCGACTCTGGTGGCTCCCTGCCTACTTTCATTTTCATCCACCTGCTGCCGCACTGCCCCGCAGACTCCTATACACCCCTCAAAGCCCAGCATGGAGGTGCCCCTCCTTGGTGAATCTTCCCTACCACCAGGGCAGCAGCTCAGCCCTGGGTGTGCTGGTCCCCGCATCTTGGGATCTCTGGGGCGGGGTGTGTGGGTTCTGAGCGGTGCTGCCAGGCCCTGGGGGCAGGCAGCAGGGAGTCCTCGTCAGGAGCCACTGCAGCCTCAAGAGGCGGAGGCAGCTCCCGCTGGGGAAGCCCGCAGCTGCCCTAATCACCCAGCCCTCCAAGTGCTCAGGCTTATTACCCAATTGGTGTTTTATCTCTAATTATTGTCTTTACAGCAAACACAAGCACACACGGAGAGAAAGTATACACCATGTCACGCCGCGGGAGGCGAGAGGCGGGAGGCAGTCTGCGCCAGTGGGTGTGCTAGGGGGGTGCCCGAGGGTACTGGCTGCCTCCCTGGGAAGGAAGCCTCTCCCGAGGAGGACTGGGGTGCAGTTCCTACAGTTTTTGCCCCCAAAAGACACTCACAGTTGCTCCAAGCCCACGCCTGGGCCAGGCCCTTGCTGATGGCCCCATGTCCCCGGCACCCCGGGGCCCTCCCAGCGCATCCCAGCCACCCTTTAATGGGTCCGGGAGGAGGTCCCGAAGCTTGGAGGTCAGCCTGTCCAGTGAGAGCTTCATCCCCCTGCGGAACCGGCCTGGTCCCACCCGACCCCTCTCCACTCAGGCACTTAGGCTCTGGTGTCACCTCCCTAAAGGCTGACCTGTGTCCTGTCCTGCAGACTAGACCTGGGGCTGCCCTGTTTCTGACTCAGTTATTCTCAGGGCACTGCACCCCTGACCCTCCTGACCCTTGTCTCCCCACCCTGCTGTCTCCCCCACATCGGTCTCTGTGACTGCCCAGACAGAGATCCTGTCACCCACTGGCTGGCCCTGCCACAGCCCTTCCCCAATCCTCCCACCAACACAGACCAGGGCCCCGGGCCTTCAGTGGGGGCAGCTCTCCAGAGTCCTGAACTTTCTGTCCCAAAGTTCTTCTGGCCTGTGCCCCCATCCCAAGTCTCCTCCTGCCACAGACAACCCTGTCCCTCCTGCCCAGGGGAGGGTCGTACACTTCAGTGCCACAGGCCCCCTCGCTGTACAGTGCACTGGGCACCTGGCTGCGTGTCAGCTGGCCCTCGGGCACGGGTGGCCAGAGGGCAGCACCCCTGAGATGTGTGGAGGACAGGATGCGCCAGGGTCCCCGCTCTGAGTCCACAGGTCGAGGGGAGGGCACCCCTCTCGGCACCTCCCAGGTCCCACCACTAATGCTCACAGGACCACTCGAGCATCACGAACTCCTGGGACAGCAGACTGTCCTTCCCTGCTGCTAACCGCTGTGCCTCTGGGGCCACGTGGCCATCTCCCCAGGGCCACGGGCACCGCTAACAGTGACCCACTTTCCACCACCTCACGGGCCTCACTGTGGGGGTGTTGGGGGGCAATTTCTGTGGCCAAGTGCAGAAGACACTCCCCCCCTGCCCAGGCTCTCCTTGGAGGAACATGAGTCAGCAGAGCGGCCGCCCTGAGCCAGCACAGCCTCCTCCGTCCTGGCAGCGTGTGGGCAGCGGGGAGAAGCCTCTGAGGGCAGGCAGGAGCAGACGCAGTGCTGCTGCTGTGACGAGAGGGCCACGGGACTGCGGGCCACGGGACTGCAGGGAGGACTGCCGGTCCTCCACCCCCAACCGCCTCTTGCTGAGCGACCTGGATCCAAGCTCACAGCCTGCCCTTGACCATCCTGGAGGAGCCGCTGCTGAGGACACTGTCCCCACAGGGACCACAACCCCACGCCCAGGCCAGGACCCAGGTGCCAGCCCCCTGTGCCCTCATCAGGGCACTCACTAGAGGGGGGGCCTCCCTAAAGGGGGGCATGGCACTCCCCACCAGGCAAAGGCCCCGATGGGAGCTCGAAGCAGCAGATGTGCCTGGGACCAGCTGACCACCGGCTTTCCCGAGAAGCTGAGCCCGCTGCCAGCTCTCCAGGGCACCACCCTGGCCAGAAAGGAGAAAGGAGGCACAGGCCCCGCTTGCTTGGGGTGTCTGTGGTGTTCCCCCTGCACCTGGCCCTGCAGCCTCCACCCTCCCAATCCTGGCTCTTCCTGCCACCCTGTCACCCTGCTGCTCCAGGCTGCAGTAAAACACTTGGGGAGGACCCTGGGGACGCGCCCCCTGGGAGCCAGTCTCCTGCAGTGAGGTCCCTCCCACACTGCACCACGGCTGCTCCTGTGGTCAGCGGGAGGTGGCAGAAAGAATGGCCGGACCTCGCAAGGTCAGATGGTCACAGCAGCACAGCTCCCTCTCGGGGCCTGTGCCCTGGGCCCTGCTCTGAGGAGCCACTGCCGGCCTTGAGGCCACCCTGTGTAGATGCCCAGCAGCGGCCAATGCCCACGAGCGAGCCCTGGCCTCACACTGAACCTCGTGAGTCGCCTGAGCACGGCCACCCTGGGACGCCTGAGCCTCAAGCCACTGAGTTTGGGGTGACTTGTCATGGAACAAAAGACCAGGAATATGCCCAGTCCTCCAACTACAGGCTGCAGAAAAATGCTCAGCGCTGGAGCTGGCACGAGCTGAGCACACGTGGGGGACAGCCAGCCTCACCAGGGGGACACAAGGCCTCGGCAGCAGACTGGCCGGGGTGGGCCAGGCAGGCGGTCCGACAAGGTTCCCTGCCCACCCCGAGTTCCCTCACTTGCGTAAGTGGGGAGACTGCCCCCCGCCCCCGGCCCAGCCCTGTCCAGACAGCACAGAGCTGGAGGAGGCCACACGGGGCAAGTC